TAAAGAGGCTATCTTTCTTCCAGGGAGTATCTTTGGCCCCTTTGTCAAAGATAAGGTGGCTGAGTGTGTTCATAGGGACGTCAGCATCATCTAATCTATTCCATTGATCCTCAGTTGTATTTTGTTGCCAGTACCATGCTGATTTGATCACAGTAGCCTTGTAGTATAATTTCAAGTCAGGAATAGTAATGCCTCCTGCCTTGTCTTTATTGCCTAGAATTGCCATTGCTATTCTAGGTCATTTTTGGTTCCAGATAAATGTTAGGAATGATTTCTGTATGTCTGTGAGGTATGTCGCTGGTAGTCTGATAGGGATTGCATTAAATCTATACAGCAATTTTGGGAGTATGGCCATTTTCACAATGTTGGTTCTTCCTATCCAGGAGCATGGGATATCTTTCCATTTTCTGAAATCCTCTATGATCTCTTTTTTCAGAGTACTGTAATTTTCCTTGAAAAGATCTTTGACTTGTTCAGTTAGATTAAATCCAAGGTATTTCATTTTCCTTGGTGCTATTGCAGAAGGTATTGTTTCTATAATTTCCCTTTCACAATTAGCATTATATAACTTCTTATGATGTGCATGACAGGTGTTGAATATTTAACCTCATTAATTTTCTTATAGATACAGATGTACACAACAATGAGTTTGCTCATTTCCTTAGTTTTGAAGCTGTGCTCGATGCAAGAAGCATAGTGGACCCATGTGATATGAGCTCACATATGATAAGACCATCTCATCAGTTTGGCCTACATCCTTCTCACAATATTTACCTGCTCTATGAACAATTCAGGACAGAGTTAGCATGCTTAGTAATCATAAGAAGTTATATAATGCTAATTGTGAATGTTACAGTATATCTGGTACAACCTTCTCATGTGCTCTGTATCCATCTCTATCTGAAGCTGCCCCAAGACAGTTGTTTATATAGCAGGAGGCCATGCAAATAGGGCCTCCCTCTGCTAGTGAAAATCAGCCCAGCCCAGCCCAGACTGCAGAGCTGCAGAGAAGCCCAGCTGTTGACGCCCAGGTTTTCCCTCTTTTGGATAAGCACTGAGCACCCACGGCTTATCATGGAGCTCTGGCTGAGCTGGGTTTTCCTTGTTGCTGTTTTGAAAAGTGATTATTTTGAACAATTAATACTGAGAGTGTGAGTGGACATGAATGAGATGAACAGTAGGCTTATGTGACAGTTCCCGGAGTGAAATGTCTCTGTGTTTGCAGGTGTCCAGTGTGAGGAGCAGCTGGTGGAGTCTGGGGGAGGCTTGGTGCATCCTGGCGGGTCCCTGAGACTCTCCTGTGCAGCCTCTGGATTCACCTTCACTAACCACTGGATGAACTGGATCCGCCAGGCTCCAGGAAAGGGGCTGGAGTGGATCACAAGCATTGACTATGGTGGTAGTAACACATACTATGCAGACTCAGTAAAAGGCCGATTCACCATCTCCAGAGACAACGTCAAGAACACGCTGTATCTGCAAATGACGAAATTGAAAACCGAGGACACTGCTGTGTATTACTGTGCGAGAGACACACTGAGGGGATATCAGTGTGAGCCCAGACACAAACCTCCCTGCAGGGTCTCTTTCGGCCAGCAGGGGGCAATGAGAATGCAGAAGAATCAAGACTAACTTTCCATATATTTGAGAATTATTTTCCTCTTAGAATCTGAGACTTCTTTTCAACTTAATACATACCCCTAGATACTCCTAGTTCATATATCTGTCCTTATCTCTGAGGCCTATCATTAGACACACTTGTTTACACAGAAGAACATTGTCCACTGTGTAAAACACGACCTCATACTTGTCCCAAAATGATTCTGCTGTGGTCATAAGGATCAGGTACTAAGTATCTTAGAAAACCAGGTAAATTCTGATAGGAATTTCAAATCCATATTGAGAAGCATTCAGTCTGGGAATAGATAAAAGCCTCTCTTCTAAGTGATCAGTACCAACAAGCCATGTGCAGTACAACCATTGTTTTTCAAACCCTCCACTGGTTGCTGAGGACCACAACAAGACCCAGGATCCCTACCTTAGTGTGTACCCAAACAAGAGCAGATGCCCAGAGCCCTAGGGATATTTGGCCTCCATTGGCCTTGCTGTTCATCTTCTAGACAGTAGTTTCTCTTCTTGTGATTGGAATGATAATGGGCTCTATAGCTTTCATTTTGTTTTCTTCCTTTAAGTGAATATTTGCATATAACATCTAATATTATAGTATTTTATTGTTTTAAACTATATTTGTTGGGTTTTTAACACATTTATTTTATTTTTATATATTTTTATTATTTCCCATAATTTTATTGAGAAACAAATAGCAATGAGACACTTTCAAATCAAATTGGTAGGACAGTTCCAATAATTAACACATTGCATACTCTCTTCCAAGAGGTTATTTGCTGTACAAGGTGAAGACATGATATACTATTTACAAACAGTATTAGAACCAATCCCTCTATTTATTAAGAGAATGCAACTATATATCTATCCTAATCACTTTGAATACACAGACACAAAATGGACATTCATCTGTATATCCTTTTTTGTTAAGTTCTGTTATTTGAATATCATAGGTGTTTTAACTCAGCAAAATATTCTAAAGGAGTCCAGTAGCCCATAATAGTATTGGGTCTTCTGCTTGACTGGCAGTGTCAGAAATTGTTGACCTGAGTCCCCTACAGCTCAACATAACAGCATGGCTTTACTTCTTATACTTCCTTTCTATACTTTTCTGCTGGATGGTTAAAACCAAGGTAAAGCAGAACCTATGCAACAAGAATTGTAATTTTTGGGTCTGATAAGGTCAGTGAAATCTCCTAAGGCTTTATCCTGAGATCCTGTACCTCAGATTGTAGAAATACTTTGTGTAAAAAACACTTTGTCAGTGTCAGCCATGTGGATGAGTCATGGCCATTGCTTGGCCAATGTGCTCTCTGTGAAAGCCTGAGAGAATGTTTTCTCTCCATGTGACTCTCCTTAGGCACACTCTACATCATCGATCACTTTCCTCTTTGGCCCCATAATCTCCTTGATCAGAAAATTTGGGGCACTACTGAGTTACATGACGTTACAGTACAAGTTCTCATATGTCCTGAGTCTTAATTGACCTGAAGGCTAGGGCCAAAATGTTGGCTTTCCTCATGGCCCTCCTTTTTTTCTAATTTTGGTCTGCATACTTAGGTTGTTAACCCTCCAGAAGAAAAGCTTTATTTTATTACCATATAACCTAGGCTCTAAAGGTATAATTAAAGGGTCTTACTATTGTTGATGAAGTCCTTTCACCAACCAGGCAGATGCCTCACTGCCTAATCCAGATCTTGTTTTCTTGTCTATCTTTTCCTCATTCCTACCTCCATTACTTCATTGGTACTAGGGATCACCCTGAGAGGCCAAAGGATCCCTAGAGTATCTTCCATTTTTGTCATTCGGTGGTCCAGAGTTTTACTATCTATGACCGTGTCATCTCACATGACATGATTCCCACATAGGTTCACTTCTTGTTGTTGTACTTTCTATGTGTTTGGAAAAATGTTTAATAACTCATCTTCTCTCATTTGGGTGAATATCAACAGCAGGAGAGATGAGTCCTGAAAGTCAAGGGAGACCTGCAGACAGGTGTGTAGTGAAGGCTCTGACAGGTGGACTGCACACAGGTGAGCATCAGTCCAGGTGGCTACATTGCCTTCTAGGCTCATCCCAGAGAAATCTTTGTGTTTTCTAATTCACAGGTGGCTGTGTTGATGTAGCCAGGCCTTCTTCAACATTCAGCCATGTCCATCTGTGCCCATGCTCAGTGTTCATCCATTGGGGAGAGCTGAGCCAAAGTACTCCTGCTCAAGAGCCCAAGTGAGAAGACTTAAGTGGGAGCCCAATCAGTAACCTTCCTCCTGTGGACTCTAAACTCCAGAGGGCACTCAAATGCACTGGGCTCTGTGTCAGCCCCAAGATCAGGTGTTCAGGTACTTTTAGAGGTGATGTTTTTACCATTTCCTATTCAGTGTTCATGCTTTAGCACTTTTATAGATGAAGTCGGTGACATCTAAGGGTGTGGCCTTGTGTTCCTGTACAAGAGATCCAGTGAGAAGACATCAGTGTGAGCCCAGGCACAGAAACCACTACAGGGCCGTTGAACACCAGCAGTGGGTGCAGAAGAGCCACCTAACACAAGCAAAGATTGCAGGAGCCATGGCAGAAAAGAAGGATGGGCTGTGAGGGCTTCCTGTTGTCTTTTGAATTTTCCTCTCTTTCCTCTTAGTATCATGTCAACTGCAGAGACCCTGGAGTATGCAGATCTACTACAGGTGACTTCTGCACTATCCACTTCCAAAGAAAGTAACATATTCATTTTTACCTTCACTCGTATGGATGTTTTGAAATTAATTTATTCCCACCCAGTTCAAATTTTTTGAAGTCAAACACATCTTTCCTTCCTCATAAGTAGACGAAGTGCTTAGAAGTTGGGTGTCATGGGACTTAAAGAACATTCAAGTCTCATCAATAGTCAGTGCTGTAAGGAGAGACTGAAATTGCAACAAAATACAGCGAACCTCCCAGAACTGACCAACCCACGCTTAGTTTGCCTGAGTGGGAGAAGTCACAGCATGGCTGGAACCAAAGGCACCCTCTGAGCTGGAGCCATCACCCCAGGAGAACAGAGGCTGCCCACTGCACACTGAGGCAATGATGAGTGAATTGACCCTCAACCAAAGATGATTTCCTGAGAATGACACAGAGCAAGGCTCGGATGCTGATGTGCAAGATGGCAGCTCCATCGGGATTACTGCGATCCTATTTTCTTTTCTCATGGCTGGACAGAAACACCTGACACTCTAAAGTTAAAGGATGAAAGTAGATCTTGGCTCACAGTTTGTATAGGTCAGGCCATGGTCCCCTCTCTCCATGGCAGGACAGTGTGGCAAAAGCAAACAGCCCATGGCAGGGCAAGTGGAAAACAACGAGACAGCTTGCTTCTCTTGCCTTATTTTCTATCCAGGCTAGAAGCCTGCTGATTGGTGCTTCCCATACCCCAGATGGGGTTTCATTATTTGCACCCAGAACTAAGCTAAGCTAACTAAGTTATCACACAATCTTCTCCAAATATCACCTTAATCCAGCATCTCATGCCTGTAATGCAGTGGCACCCAAAAGCGTGTGAGATTTTTAGGAGACATATACATACAAGCCAGAACACCTACCCTTCCAGTCATGTTTACCTGCTAGCTATGAAAACCTGCAACCTTTACATTATTCTCCTCAACAAACACACTTCAAATTTCCTATCAGAAGCAGGACGTGTGCCTCATGTGACCTCCTTCTTTATCTTCAGTGCACATCACTGCCATCCCTGCTACCAAGAACACTCCACTTGTGCTCTCTGGTTTCACCAATTCATGTCACCTACTAGGAGAGTTGGGATTCTGTTGAGGTTCCTTGAATAACACAGGATAGTAATTTTCCCATCATTTTCTTTTATTTTCCTCCGTCCAAAATGTGCCTTTACCATGATCAGGTCATGAAGAGACAGGTTGGTGGGTGGGAGTTGAAAACATAGAATGCTGGCTCAGCTGGTCTAAGCTGTTCCTCCCTCTCACCTCCTGCTTTCCAGGTGCAATCCCACACTCTGTACAAGAACGCTGCTTAAACTCATCCCCAGCCAAATCCATGTGTGGGAGGCACAATAACCCAGGCCTCCAATATTTTTGCAGGTGAATCTTTTTCTAAATCCTGTGAATCTGCCACATTATGACTCCGTGCCATATAGCTCTTAATGGTCACCTGAGTTCCACTGACCTATAAAAGTCTCTTGGTGCATCAGTGTCATTAGTGATGCTGACTTCCTCCTCCCCTACCTCTGCTGAACTAGGTTACTAGTTCTTACCCTGCCTATTTCCCATAAGTTTCCTGCTAGGCCCAGTACATGGGACTTCCTGTCATAGCCCGGTTGCCTAGTAACTCGCGCCTTTTACCCGCCAAGGTCATTTCCCTATGCCTCCACTGTATATACCCAGCACCTCCCCTAAATAAATGAGACTTGATCAGAATCCTGTCTTGTCTTCATTTCTCGTGTCTCCTGTTCTTTGTCCCCTCTTCAATTCCCCGCTCCTCCCCCACGTGACCTTCGTTGAGTGACCCGCTGGTTCGGGACATCCATGTGTATTAAATTTCTACATTTTTAAGAAATATATTTCTGTTGTTTCAATTTTTTTAACATTGAAAAATTTTTATATTGCTTTAAATATGTACTCACTTCCTAACCTCATTTCTAAGTAAAACTATTTATTCTATTCAAAATTATAAGTGTTTCATGATTCCTTCACTAGAAAATTACATATTTCAGTACCTATGATTATATCTGATATTTTAAATTTGAAACACCTGAAATTTGTTAAAGTCTGTATTTCAATTGTTCATTTATTTCTAGTGCTTTAGAGTTCATCTATTTTAAAATAGTAGAAAATTTAGCAATACTTTGTAGAGAACTGTGCAGGATTTCCTCATGCTGTTGGGTCTTCAGACTGAATAAATGCTCTTTCCTTTTTTGGGGGGGATATAATTTCTAATTTCAAGGTGGCATTAGGGGTGACGTGGTCCCTGAGAAGCAAGCATTACATGAATGGTGTCTTACT